AATAATTTTAAGATCAAATTAAGTATTAATATCCCAAATCAGATTAAACTACCAGCATATACACATGCTTAAATGATATCACGGGATTATGGGATAACATTCAACAGAATTCATACATTAATTCTAAGATTAAATTATGTATTAATATCTACACAACCGTGTATGCTGACAAATTATACTTTCATCGGAAAGTCAGACGCAATTCCAGAAATGCCAGAAGCAAAAGGCAGAACAGGGTACACTCACACCGACAAAAAAGTACTAGAACAGGTATAAGTGATTGCGTAAATATGAAATCAGCTGTGGACGGGCACGAGTAGTGAAATCATGGATAAGATAGCCAAGATAAGATATCTAGAGGTGATAAGATAGCACCTATCAAAGGTGGAGGGGTGCTTCAAAGATGTAACAAGGAAAAAGACTTCAATCAATTAACATGAAAGGACACATGATAAAATATCAAACTTTACTGTAATAGACACGTCGACCAATCACTTGCAAAAAAAAGATAAGATGAGCTTTTCCACCGACGGGAATATAAGTCATCTCTGGCTATAGCGGGCGATGCTTCTGGTGTGTCAGCATATCAGTGACACACCACGGCCCATTTTTCCAAGACCGATTGAATGTATAATACTATGTTGCTTCAAAGGAAAGTACGAACTGCTACATAACTGCTATACGCCAAGATCATTGATCATGTAAGAATTCACATAACCCGTACACAGTACTAAAACAACGCCGACACTGGACTACACATGCGCAACACCAGGAAAGTACACTCAGCAGAATAGAGACAAACCTCTTCGATCCATAAGTTCGACAGCCGACACCGGTAGACTAGACAGTGCATGCGCAGCGTTGCACGCTTCGGCAACGGTGTCGAATACAATGATGGTGGACGCCTTGTGCTTGTGGTCTTCCACAGTGTTGTATGTGATGTCAGAGATGAAACCTAGGGTACCCTCACTACCCACGATGAGGTGTGCGAGGATGTCGAACGGATCCTCAAAGTCAACCACAGAGTTAATCGCATAGCCACACGTGTTCTTCAACCGGTATTTGTGCCTTTGAAGTTAAGAAAACATAGAGCTTGTTATTTTCAACCCGGAGTCCACAAACCGACGATAGAAAAAACAAACCCTGTTCTTCAGACACGTGTTCATTGCTATTTCAATACAACACTCACAAGCTTGACGCATTGATACGTATTTGAAGTACAAAGTGAGGGGTAGTAGTCGCGGTATGTTGATGGGCACTACAGTACTTTCGAGTTGAGAGTCCTAAAATTTGATACGCTGGTGTACGATGCACAAGTTTGGGTATATATCTGTACATGAATAAACATATAAGTGCATAGCAAATAAATGTCAACCATATTCTTTAGGTTGCACGATCTCGCATTTGCTGTTGCATAGAAGAATGAGACGTTCCCAATTGGAAACTTTGATTTCCGCCAAGCATTTAACAATACAAGTGCCATAAATAACCCCACTAAATGAGCGAATCCAATTTGCCACGCCTCGATTTCACTGGAAGTCGGTGAACCTTTCACAGCCTTTCAAGATAAGTCAATACTGAAATTTAGCTGGTCATTCAGAACCGACCAGTGTAGAGAATTTACGAATTATACGTAAGCTAACGTGAACCCCAAGGGCCACATCTTCTATGTACCGAAAAGAAAATATGATAAACAAACAGTATTTCTGGCAGTATAAGTATACACTTGACCATAAATGTGTATAACCAAGCACAATTATTCTGCTGCTGAGAACTCGTCCATACTGAATGAGCTTGGTTAGCTTGTCATCCGCTAAGGTATCCTTCCTCAGCTTAGCAAGAGCGTCCAAGATATGGCCGTGCGTCTTTCTAAATTTGGCCTTGCTCTCCTCCAAGCTAGTGTCCAACACAGTGCCATCGTATAAAATCACACGAATAGCCTCCATCGTGAAATACGTGTTTCCGGCGGTCCCACAGCACATGCCACTTGAGTTATTGGCGGCGATTCCACCTGCAAGTATAGGAAAGTAACACATAAGTATATGCAAAGACGTGTAAGTGCATGCTCATACGGAGGGAGCATTTTTGAAGTACATATGCCTATGAATATTTATCTGAAACTTTTTATATTCATGCGTGTTGATATTCAACAATGAAAGGCACACATGACCGGGAGGGCGGCATAGACTCGCATTGACTCGCTAGCTATCCAGTCTCTGTTCATTTGGTGGATTGTTTATTCATCACAAAGACTACACATGAATACTTTCGGGATTACGCACTGCGACAACTATGTACTTGTACAGTTGGATTTAGATAAAAGTTCCGATGAATAGATGAGCATTTACATAAATAAGATTAGACCATGAGCACACACCAATGCGAGCAGCGTTGATAGAAGCAGGATCGGGCCCTAACTTTCGACCGTACGGGGCTAGAAGAAGATTTGCTCTGGCGCCTGTCACAGAGGAAAGGAAGATACCAGATAAATTTGACCTCGTATTAAGAACGGAAGCTACGCTCAATAAAAAAGAATACTGTGATGAATTTAAGATGACAAACATATTGTCACCAAATATGAGAAGTGTGGTTGGGGATCGGACAAACAAAGTGCATGGACACGAGACACTCAGCTCAGAAGTAACAACCCTTGTACAACCCTGTGTGTTGTAACGCGGAAACAACCAGCTTTGCTTGATAAGTGTGAGGGAAGAGAAAAGGCAAGCATACTAGCGTCTATATACAAATGTATCACTGACAAACTCAGATCGAACTCACCCACAATCCCCGGTTGCAATCTCGCTTTGCGCCCTCCCTCAGTAATATCATACTTGGTCCAAAACTCGTCGGCTTTCAGCAGGATCGAATCCGTGATTGCCTGTGACAACATGAATTTTAGGCATACATGAATATGTATGTGACTCCATGACTTCAGGTATCGATACATATTTACAAACAACAAAAAGTAACGTACATACACAGATACGCATACGCATACCCATACATCTACACCTACATGCACATATACATATATATATTTATAATATATATATATATATATACAAACACACACACACACACATATATATATATATATACATACATATACGTGTACATATCCATATATAGACATAAACACGTACATACATACACATGCAGACACACACATATATATATATATACATACATACATATAGGAATATACATATGTATATATAGTTAATATACATGTATATGTATATATTAATAAACATATACATATACATATATATATATATATATATTTATATAAATATACATATATTAATATATATATATATATATAAATATATAAATATACATGTATATATACATATGCATACACATACATACACAGACGCACACACACACACACATATATATATATCAATATATATCGATATATATATATATTCAT